CGCTGCCCAGGGACCACACTGCCCAGGGACCATGTTGCCCCGGGACCACGCTGCCCCAGGACCACGCTGCCCAGGGACCACGCTGCCCAGGGACCACACTGCCCAGGGACCATGTTGCCCCGGGACCACACTGCCCCGGGACCACGCTGCCCAGGGACCACACTGCCCAGGGACCATGCTGCCCAGGGGACCTGGCGGGGTCTCCCCTTTGCAGATGACCACCTTTACCCTCCAAGCCAAAGACCAGGACTTCCCCTTCCAGCACGATGCCTGGCCAACCGTCCTCTGAACAGTGTGGCCTCTCACACACCCCGTCCTTCCTCTCTGGAACACATGTCCCTCTGCAGTGTGCGCGATGGGCTCAGGCGCCTGCCTGCTGCCAGCTTCCAACCCTCCCTCACCGTCTGTGCCCCCGGGCGAGTTACACACCTGAGCCTCAGTTTCCTCCCTGCCCCGTGGGCACAGCACCCTGCCCCCTCAGGGTGTTTGAATGAGGGCCTGGCACCAGAGCGTGTCTGGGTGGACATCCGCAGGGCCGCTGCCACTGCTGCTGCCCAAGGCGTCACGTGCTCTCTTGGGCCTTCCGGTGGCCCCTCATTTGTCTCGAGCCCACCCTGCAATTCCCCTTTTCCAGGGAGAATACGCAGCACTCATAGCACAAAGAGCCAGGACAGCAGAGCCAGGTCAGCAGAGCCAGGTCAGCAGAGCCCGCAGCCGCCCATGGCTGTGCTGCACAGGTGCTGTCCCAGCCCTGCCCACGGGGCACTGCAACCAGCACCCAGGCCCGAGACCTGCAGAGATGTCACGTGTGCCACCCTGCTTTCCGCAGAGGTGAGCGGCCCTGCTGCCCCCACATTTCCTCCTCTGTAGAAACCTCTGCTCCCTGAGAGGGGAGGCAGGCAGCAGAGTCTCGCACACCCATGTGTGGATGGCCGGGTCACTCTGCTCAAAGAGCACGTCTCCCCGTGCTCCCTCCAGCCCCCCACCTGCCCCACTGCTGCTCCCCAGGGTCACCGCCAAGGCTCCCCATGGCAGAGCTGGCCTCGGTCCTGCAGTGACAGCCTCAGGAGCTGCCGTCCTCGGCTGTGGGGAGGCAGGACGAGCAGGGACACCGGCTCCCCAGCCCGAGCAGCACCCCACTCAGCACCCACTCAGCAGGCGTGGTGAGCACTTGTTGAATGAGCGAAGGACGTGGGGGGGGTGTCTTCCCACAGAGCCAGCTCTCGCTGTTGGCCGAGGTGCTCCCGGGCACTGCAGGCAGAGGGACAGTGTGGGCAGACCCAGGGGTGCTGGGCGCTCCGTGTGCAAGGCTCAGAGTGCCCTGGAGGGGGATGAGCAAGCACAAGGGGGCAGGTCTGTCAACAGAGCGAGGGGCAGCGGCCTGCACCAGGCCGCCCTAGGGCACCCAGCAGGTGGCAAGGTAGGAGGGACCTCTGCAGGCTGCAGGGGCCAGTCAGGTCCTTCTGGGGCCAGGAGCCCCTGAAGCGAAGAGGGTCCTGCCTAAAGGGAGGTGTGAAGGTGCAGGGGAGGGGTAGGAAGGGCTCCTGCGGCCAGTCGGGGTGGTGTTGGCAGACAGCGGTCACTCTGGGCAGTGCAGAGAAGCCGTCTCATCTGCAGGACCTTGACACAGCATTTTATGGCTGCGTCTGGGCAGATGAGTTTGCTTCCCTGGCCATACTCTGAAGTCACTTCCCCACTGTCCCCCTCTGAGGGGGACATCAAACCAGCAATGGCGGGAACTTGTGCGCGGCTGTGTGCCGCTCACGTCCACAGCGAGGCCGCTCTCTGGACGAAACCTGATGCTCTTCCTGCAGCATGGCTGCATCTCACCCAGGAGGCTGAGGACAGTCCTGGCATGACTGAGGGCACGTGGACAGCGTAGAGGGCGGCCTCCGAACAGCTTCCTCGGGCCTCCCCGGCCGGGCTCGCCTTGCACTGGACCACTGCCCAGGTGACTGACCGTCCTGGAAGAAGGGGCTGCATGGGGAGCAAGAGCCCTGGCTGATCCCCTCTGCCACCCAAAGCGTGGGGCCCACTGGGGCTCCCTTGGGCAGCGGCAGAGAGCAGGGCAGATGCGCACCTTGCGCCCTGAGACAAGGTCGGGCACCTCTGGAGAGATCCAGGGAGGGCTCCGCCTGGAGAAGGGGCTCGGCAGGGAGCGAAGGACGTGGACTTCCGCCAGATTCCGGTGGAGGACAAGGAGGGGGTCCAGTGCACAGGTGTGGGTGGAGGCCGGAGGGCCAAGGCAGGCTCCCCGCAGCTGTGGCTGCTCAGGCTGGGGGTCAGACAGCGGGGGCCAGGGCACCCGAGCGCACCAGGCGCCCCGGCCGTCCCACTCCCTGGCTTGGCCAGAGAGGGCTGGGCGCCACGTCTGCTGAGAGCCACCTGGGTCTCCCCAGGACCACCTCGGGACACGCTCCGCTGCGCCCTAACGCCATAGTAGGCAGAAGCAGTGACCTAACCTGCTGCTGCCTGGTTACCAGTGCAGCTCTGGCCCGACTCCCCGTAGGGATGAGAAAGCCCGATGACGGAGCGCCGTAGATCATTCCAGAAGTGCCGAGGAGACAGACACTTCACCGCACCTGATGCGACCTGGTGCTGTGGGGGCCGCTGAGAAAGCCACAGGGAGTGGGGCCCACACCTCCCATCCAGGAGACCTCAGCAGTGCCAAGGACACGGTGAGCTGCCTAGGTGGCATGCAGGGGCTGCCAGGCTGAGGCATGGCACTCGCAAAGGCACTAGGGCAGCCGAATGCAGCGTGGCTTCCAGGGGACAAGGCCCTTTCAACCCTTAGTGGAGGAGGCGTCTCCCCTCCACAGACAGAGGCCTCCCGTCAACCGCTCCTGGTCCCGAGCTCACCAGGCCCCCCCCCACCCGGAAGGAATTGTGGTCTCCAAGGGAGGGTTCCCAGCCAGGGCTGGCTCCCGTGCCCCTGAGAGAGCCGTGCCCCCCACCCCAGGACTCAGCTGGCACTGAAGCTCGCCAGCTCCTCTGCAGAGTGCCAGGAGGCTCCTTCCCTGTCTGCGGCCACTGTCCCCATGTGAGACCAGGTGACCCAGACAAGGGTTTCCAAGCTGCCTCTAGGAGGGCCTCCAGGCTGGGAGAGAGGAGGCTGGGGCCTGGGTGGGGGGAGGTCCAGCCCAGCTCCCCCTCGACCTGCTTCCTGTGCAAAGGCTCTCTCTCACACACACACACACACCCATGTTCACACGCACACACCCATGTCCACATGCACACACACCCATGTTCACGTGCACACACACCCACGTTCACATGCACACACACCCATGTTCACACGTGCACACACACCCACGTCCACGTGCACACACACCCATGTTCACGTGCACACACACCCACGTTTACATGCACACACACCCACGTCCCCGTGCACACACACCCATGTTCACATGCACACACACCCATGTTCACACGTGCACACACACACCAGGGTCTAGTGCTAAAGCAAAGAAGGGGCTTTTGGTAAAGATGTCTGGGTGCCGCTGGTGCTCCCCACGGCCTGTCCTCCGAGGCCACGTCCAGTCAGTGAGCCACGGCACCACGTGGAGGTGAAGGCCAAAGTGGTCTGAGAGGTCAGAGAGATACGCGGGATTCAGAGCGGTTTCCCGGGACGTCTGGGGAGGCTGAGCTGTGAGCGTTGTTGGGCTCACGCAGTGTGGGGAGGAGGGGCCGTGGCCTCTGCTCCTGGCCCAGGTCCAGCCACCAGCATGCTCGGTCACGGGCCAGCGACTCCTGGGCCGGGAGGCGTGTGCGAGGCAGCATCCGGCAACGGAGCAGGGCCGGCTCCTGCCCCCAGCGATGCGCAGCGGCTGTTGCCTGGCAACAGCAGATGTTCCCTGCCAAGATGGAGAGGTGGGACCAAAGGGGGCTTGTTTTTTCTGGGTAATCAAACCAGCTTAAAACTCCCCAGCGTTGCCTGGTTACCAGGGCGGCTCTGGGCCCCGACACCCCACAGCGGCACCCAGAGGGCCTCCGTCTCCGGCTAGCTCAGGAGTCAGGCATAGGCAGGCAGCGTGAGGGGGGACAGACAAGGGACCTGGACCCAGCTCAGCTCACGGCCAGCACTGCGAGCTGGGGACTGGGCCTTCCTGGACTCTGCAGAGCCGCACGGCCACCGCCTGCCGCGTCCCAACTCCCAGGTGCAGTCCAGCCACAGGAAGCGGGGCAGTGCTGGCCGCCTGCCCTCTGCACCAAGGCCCTGAGCAGCCTCCCGGTGCCAGCCCAGCAGGACACACCAGGATGGGGATTCCTGGGTCAGGCCATGCCCCGGGGCTTGCTCCACTGCCCCCACACCGGGCGCGGCCACCCCGTCAGCTCTGCGGTCCCCACCGTGGCCTTCCCTGTGTAGACACACCCAACTTGGCTCTGATTCTCTAACACAGGCCAGCGTTTCCTCTCCAGCTGGGGATGTCTTCCTCTCTCTCTGAGTGCACTGATCCAGCCTCGTGCGAGGGTCTCTGCCGTTTGGGGATGTTCTTCCATTATGCCTTTGATTCTTGCTTCTGTTCTCTAATAGTGACCACCACATTTGTTGACATTTTCTGACTGTGGGGAGTGATGTGTCGCTCCTCACCTGCTGACAACTTCTCCTCCTCCCAACAAGCTCTCTGCAGACAGTGCCCATAAGGCACAGAGAGGTTAACTAAGTCGAGGTCACACAGCATTGAGTGATGAAACCCACACTAAATCCGGCAACCCCACTCTTTGTCACTGTGCTGTACTGCCATGTCCCCAGAGCATGGCGAGCTCCGCACCACACTCACTGCTCATATAGGGAACCTTCTCCTCCTGCATGTGAACGGCGGATCACCCCATCTTGGTGGTTTTCTGCACAGTTGACTGTCCTTCCAACATGATGCTCTCCTGGGAGTTGATCTCGAGCCCAATCTGTGCCCCCGAGGGTCTGTTGTAAGCGTGTGGCTCTGGGCAGGAGCGCTCGCCCACCCACCTGCACCTGGATGAAACCACACTCACAACCGCTCGCCCACCGCCCGCCCAGGCTTCCCCTGCCCAGCTTATGGACCCCAGCTGCACGAGCTCTGGGCTGCCGCAGACCATCCCCACAAGCAGGGGCCTTTGGACCCAGGGTCCACTCACAGCCCTGGAGGCCTACGCGGCTGCCTGTTCCCCCAGGGTCCTGCCTCCTCCAGCCCTGGGGCTCCAGGACACCAGCCACTGGACCTAGGGCCCCCCGTCTAGGAGGGACTCCTCCCCAGATCCTTAACCAGGTCTGCAAAGGACCTGCCCCCGGTCAGAGCAGCCTCAGGCCCGGTGGGCTGAGCCCGGGACCCCAGCCCAGCCAGCACCCGCTCCTGCCCCCTCCCGCAGACTGGGGAATGCCCCCCTGGTGCACGGGGTACAGGGGAGGAGGGGCACCCGCTGCCCTTCACAGGAGCACACAGGTCCCCTGCCGTGTCCACGGCCTCAGCTTCACCGGGAGCTGCCTGGCCAAGGCCCCAGTGCCACCGCCCCCAGGCCTCCTGGGTCTCTGCAGGTGAATCTTCTCGGGCACCCCGGGAGCTCTGGGGCCGGAGGAGGCCACTCTCCTGCCTGGGTGTCTCTGAAACACGGGCTTGTGTCCTGGCGCTTCACCAGCTCTGTGCCGACTGCCAGGTCCCGCGTCACCCTCAGGCAGAAAGGACGTTCCAAATACACAGGCACAGAGGAGGGCGGGCCTGGTTCTGTGCATCTTCTGCTTTCTTGGAAAGAAAACAAAAGGAGCATTAATGAGTGCCTACTGTCTACCAGATTTGGGCTAATGACTGCTGAGCGCACCCCTGAGGAGACGAACCTACCAGCATGAAGCCACTCTCCCCAGGGGCACGGCGTGGACCTGAAGCCCCACAGCAGCACCAGGCTGAGGAGGCCCAGCTGTGCAGCCAGCTGGGCATCTGGTGGGCACTAGGCGTGGCTCACTGACTGCTGCCACGGCTCCACCACCACAGAGACCTCGGCTCCACCACCACAGAGGCCACGACTCTGCCACCACAGAGGCCACGACTCTGTCACCACACATGCAGATTCAGTGCCCCCTTCTGAGGCCCTGCAGATGCAAACAGCCCCAGGTGACGCGCAGGACCTGGAGGGCCAGCACACCCAGGCCAGGGGTTCCTGGAGCAGTGGCCGCACCCCCGATGGCACCCTGGGCTTGGTGTCTGAGCACAGGGGGGAAGGCCCGTCAGGGAGTCCAGCCAGGGCAGCCGGGCAGAGCTCCTGAGGCCTCGTCCAGCTTTGCAGAGTGAGGCCAGCAGCTCACTCACCCCCAATGCTGGAGGCGCTGCCGCGCCCCACCCCAAGTCTGAAGCAGGAGGCAGCAGCCCCAGGAGCCAGCCTGGACCGTCGGCCGTCCTCACCGAGGGCTGCTCTCAGAGCTGAAGAGTCCCGCTGCACACATCTGCACACACGCACAAGCCACACGCACACAGCACACAAGGGCGCGCTCACCCGCGTGCTCGGCCACTCCCTCGCGAGGCACCAAAGGTAGGCTGAGCTCCCGAATGTGGCCCCTGGAGATGCCTGTGCTGGGAGGAGAGATCACTGCACCGACCCAGGGCACCCCTTGCAGCAGGTGCCACGGTCTGCTGTCCTGAGCTCACGGGCCCAGGAGCATGGACAGACGGTTGGCGCTCGGTTGGCCAAGTCTACAAAGTGGCCTAGGTTTGGAGCCCTGCTGGTGGTCCAGCCTGCAGAGGTCAGAGACCAGAGGGGCCCTGTCCACTGCAGCCCACAGAGGGGACCAGGCCTGAGCCTCCTGGACCTGGGTCAGGAACGCCTCTGGGGCAGCCGGTGATGGAGGAGCCTGTTGGCAGTGCAGGGCCGGGTGCCCGAGGAAGCCTCCCACTCCTGTGCGTCTGAGAGCTGTGGCCCAGGCAGCGGTGGACAAGACCCACGTGTCCACACAGAGAGAGGGGCCACCCACGACTCCCTCTGTCATCCCTGCTCAACAGCAGACCCCAGACCGGGGACACAAAAGAGGGGACACAAAAGAACTCGTAGGGAATCACATTTCAAGAGAACACACAAACAGAAGGGAAATGAATTGCTAATCAAGTCCTCTTCCAATTTAGCATGAACGGAGACTCGGGGCGACTGGGAGCTGGCCCGGGCAGGGCTCTTTGGTAAACATGTGGGCGTGAGGACAGGTTCAGGCCCCTGGTCCTGCCTCCGCAGAGCAGCCAGGACAGGGCAGCTCACAGCCTGGACCCCGCGCTCAGGAGCACTCGTCCAGGGAAGAACCCGGGAAGCAGTCAGGGACTGGGCAGGCCAGGAGCCACCCAGCGGCAGGGAGGGGCCAGGGCCAGGCCGGGGCGGCTCTGCTGCCAGGGGCCGCTGCAGGCCCGGGAGGAAGCGGTGGGAGGAAGCGAGGAAGGTGAAGCAGGAGGGAGCTTACCCAGGGGGTGTCCTGCAGCAGTGGCCCCTGCCCTCCAAGTCCCAGCCCCCCCACGGCCACCCCCTCAGAGCGGGTTCCCAGCTCCATCCCGGCTCAGAGACTCAGCTCAGGGCACTGATTCCACCTCCCACCTCCGCCTCTCTGTCTCCCCATCCTGTGGTCCTCAACAGAGGGTGGGTGGGTGTGGCCTGCGTGCCCACAGGGCCGTGTGCATCTGAGGGTGCACACACGTGTGCCTGAGCCTGTGTGTACACATGCATGTGTGCCTACATCAGACATGTTGATCACATTCCCAAAATAAAAGTAAAGGTCAGAAGGACTCGGCAGCGGCGCACCAAGGCAGGGGTCCGCGCTCCCCCGCTCCGTTGGCTCCCTGGGGTTGGGGAGGTGTGTGGCTGTTGCAGCCAGGCCCCTCAATGGAGCACCAATCCTGAACAATCCTGGACGTGCCTGACACCAGCCCCTGGCCCTCCCCCAGGGCGGCCCAGCCTCCAGGCGAGGGCAGCCCTCCCACCCGGGGCCTGGCCTGTCTGAGCCCCAGGATGCTCACCCCCCTTCCTAATTTCAGCTCCGGGGATGCTGTGCTTTCTGTGTGCCTTTGTTTTTGAGCTTTTGGTAGTAGTTATTAATGTTTTTCATTTCCTCAAAAATTACAGCTGTTGGGACGTTAATGGAGTTAATTGTTACGATTCAGCCGCTGGAGGGGCAATTTAGCACCTGCTAATAAAGACGCAGAGTGGGAAGTTTGGGGAAATGACCAGATTACCAGTGTTATCCTGTCACTCTGGCACGCAGAATTACTGAGGCAGGGCCTGGGGCGGGTGTGTGTCGGAGACCACGTGGCGGGTGCCAGTCTGTGCTGTCCAGACCACACACAGGAGGGCGGGTCTCGCCCCAGGACGTCTTCTATGAGATTCCCAATCACACAGGCTGGAAGGGCAGATCTCCAGCTTCTGGAGACCGCCATGGGCCAGTGTGGGCGCTGCAGGCCTCGGGCTGCAGAAGGTGCGCAGGGCAGGGCCAGGAACCGAAGGGATTCCACTGGTCCCCACAGCTGGGCCCTCTGTGAGCGGGGACCCCACCTGCCACAGCTGCCTGGGGCATCTGGCCTCAGGGCTCCCTCCTTCCCCAAATCTCAGGTCTGAGGGCTGGAGCAGTGCAGAGCATTACCCCAAAGACACTCTGAACACCATGATGCCCTGCCGAAATCCTGAGGGTTCTGAATCCTTGAAGTCTAACATCTCCAAAATCACAACCCCAGAGATTAAAATCTGGATGTTGAAGCCCTGAAAACCCAAATCCACAACTTCTTTAAAAAAAAAAAAAAAAGCTAGAGCAGCAGGAAGCCGAGCCCAGGAGGGCCTGTGCGCTTTCTGTCGAGCGAGGGGTGGGCCCTGCAAGGGGCAGGGGCTCTGGGCCGCGGGAGCCTGGGAGGTGGCCTCGTGTCTGCCACCCCCTTTCCCACGTGCCAGTGTGTTTTGTGTTTTGTAGTCTGGGGTTCTCTCTCCTTCTTTGATCTTTTCTTGGGTTTTCTTTCCTGGCCATTCTAAGTCGTGAGCATGGCTTTGTACCACTTGCTGTGCTGGTGCTCGGCTCCCACACCACTTCCCCCGGGAGGAGTAGGAACCCGCCGGGGCTCTTGCTGGGTCTGCTTCGCTCCTGGGGTGTGACGTCGTGGAAGGGCACCGTCATGGCGCTGGCCACGTGCCTGAAAACCCAGGCGCTCCCTGGGTCCATGGAGGGGTCCTCCCTGCACCACTGCAGAACTGAAAATGAAACTTCTCAGGACCCCAGCTCTCTGGGTGAGGATGTCTGTGCTGCTCTCCTGCTGGGGCTTCCAATTGTCTCATCCGAAGACTCAGGGCCTCGGGCTGGCTCAGGGGACGTGGGTCAAAGCTCAAAGCTGGTGAGCAGGTTCTGACTCAGCGACGGGAGGTCCCCCTTCCCTTGTTGACGTGCGTCTTCCTGAGCCCGGTCCACGTGCTCACGTCTGCTCCAGCCACGAGACCGCTGGCCTGCCCGAGGGCTCGTGCTGCAGTGTGCGTGTCGATGTTGCCCAACTGTGTACAGTGGCCACACGACTCTTCTGTCATATTTCACACGTTTGTCAAATAAACCTCCTTTTAAAAATACAAATGAATGTCTTTTAACAAATTGCTCTAGGGCTGGGGTTGTGGCTCAGTGGGAGCGTTTTGCTCGCCTAGCAAGCGCGAGGCCCAGGGTTCGATCCTCAGCACCACATAAAAACAAGTAAAGGCATTGCGTCCAACTACAACTAAAAATAAATATTTAAAAAGAGAAGCTGCTCCATAGTTTTTCCAGAAGTACATATTTGGGACCTTAGGCTTTGATCTGACCCCAGCTCAGCTGCCCAGCTCCCTCCGCGCTGCCACCCAGGCCGAGGAGCAGGGCTCTCCTGCCCCTTGTCCCCGACCTGTCCTGAGTTCCCAGAGCTGGGAGAGAAACAGAGAGCATCCAGCCTGGGACGTGGCCCCGTGGCCCGTGCTGGAGACCCCTGACCTCACAGCCAGACGCTGGTCAGAGGACCTCTCCTTGGGTGGCCTGGGACGCTCCTTCTCTCCTCCCCAGGGACCTGCAGAGCTTGTGCCCAGGAGGGGGGGCAGTGGGGGAGCCGGTGGGGAGGGCGGGGAGGGGGGCGGAGGGAGAGCAGGGCTTCATCCTGCTGCAGTCCAGGGCGCACCCGCCACCCGCCAGCTCCCTCCGTGTCTCCAGAGGCGGCAGCTGGAGCCGTGTTCTCGGCCCTTTAACTCCCAGCCTTGCAGGCTGGCCCTGGAGCTGGCCGGATGGACCAGAGTCTCCCGAAGGCCAGGGCGTCCAGCTCAGGCAGAGGGTCTGCTGCGGCTGCCAAGGGCAGAGAGGCGGCTGTCACCCTCTTCTGAGCCGCATGTCCTCCTCACAGGGGGGTGTCCCTGCCCTCCCCCAAAGCCTCCCCCGATCTTCAACTGCCCTGAGCGGCTCTGCTGCTGGGTGCCACCTGGCAGGGCCTCTCTCACCTGGGCCAGCTGCTGAGGCGGGAGGGACAGACGCACTGCCCTCCGCCCTCATGTCCCCAGGCCTCCTGATGCCACTTAGGACTGTGACGGATGCCACTTAGGGTCACAGCTCCCGCCTGGGGCGGTCTGGTGGGAAGCTGTGGGTCTCAGGGCCGTCCCCACACAGCGTGGCTCAGCATCGGGCACAGACTCCCCCAGTCTCCAAGGCTGGCAGCCTGAGGCGCACGGCCTGGTGGGCCAGTCCCTTGGGAATCCCAGGGGACTTGCCCATCTCTCCCCAGCGTGGGCAGTCCCAGGCAGTGCCCGGCCTGTGAAGGTCACTCTGCGGTCGTCCTGCGGCTGCTTTCCCTGCGCCTCTCGGCTGTCTGTCACTGGTTCAGGACCACCAGACCCAGCACGACCTTGTCCAGAAATCCATGACGTCACCACATCTGTAAAGACCTTCCTAATGCCATCAGAGCCTGGGAATGGCAGAGCCTGGGCAGAGGAGCCAGGACAAGTGTGGGGACGGGCCTCCCAAAGAGTGGTCCCAGCCCAGGCTTTCCTTCCGATGCCAAGACCAGGGGCTGGGGGACATTCATGCACAGGTAGAGATGGGAGGACCATCCAGGGGGCACTGGCCCACAGGGAACAGCACCAGGGACACGGAGCCTGCAAAGGCACTGAGGTTCCTGGGAGCCCCCCCATTCTCAGTCTACTGGGGGGTGGGGCTGGACATGAAGACCACTCTGTCTCTGCCCCGTGGTGGCAGGACTACACTCGAGTAAGACTCACGGTGGAGGTCTCTGGAGCAAACTTGGCCATCACGTCCCCTGCCTGACCTCACGCCCCTCATGCCAAAGCTAGCTCACAGTGACCCTGCACACCAGCCATCAGAACACCCCTCCCCTGACCAAAGTCATTCTCCAGGACTATCTGCAGGCTCCGTCACCCTCCCCGTGGGACACTGAGTGGGGTTGAGAAAGCCAGCCCACAGCCAGCCGGTGGTGGAGTGCGGGGCGCAGGGGAAGCTGGGCCCTGGGGCCGGCCGGCGTCTCTGCACTCGGTGTTCTCCTCTGCCAGGCCGGGGCCACACCGTCCCTCCTGCAGGGCCTTCTCTGAGGGCTCTTAGTGACAGCAGTCAGCAGCGCTAACGCGTTCAGTGAGGTGATATTGTTAAACCTGGCAGATCCCCAAGTCTTGTTAATAATTATTACTATTAATAGTTCTTAGAGGCCAAAAGAAGCCAGAATTGATGGCCTTTTGTAGGTGAGCATGCACAGTGGGTGCAGGGGCTGGTGGGCTGTCTCAGCCTGAGGGTCTTGGGCCCCAGAGGCTCCCACAGTGACCCTCCAAGTACCCCTGTCTCTGTCCTGCTTCCTGTGGTCAGAAGAGCTCTTTTGGGGACAGTCACACCAACTCCCTAGCAATGCGCTCTCACAGGTGGTGGGTGGTGCCTGGAGAGACGAGCTGCAGAGATACAGCACAGGGTCCTTGCTCTGCCTCCCCTCGCATTGGCCATGGAGCAGTGTTCACACCAGAGTTGGCACTGGGGGGACCAGGGCCCTCTGCAGGGCCACCGCTGTGACGCTGCCTCTGCAGACTCCCAGAAGGGTCTCCAGCCACCATGGGCTCCTCCTGCAGTGTTGTCCCATGAGCAGAGGCCACCATGAGAAACGCAGAACTGGGTCACCAGGAAAGGACAAAAGCAGGACACGCATTTGTAGAAGCAGAAAGCTGTTTTTCTCGCAGGTTGGCGAGCCTGGTGCTGCTCCCAGCAAGCACGGCCATGGGCACCAGGAGTCTCTGGGAACCCCCTCGGCCGGGTGGCAAGGGTGTGTCCTGCGCCCTGTGGCTGAGCATGCCACAGGGAGGGCACCAGGATGAATGAAGCAGAAGCAGCCACCAACACAGGGCGCCAGCTGGAGAGAGCCACCCGGGGCCGGGAGCCCCCGGGAGGTCCACGCACAGGCTGGTGTCAGGCAGCATGTGGCACTGGGCCAGTGGGGAGCGTCCACCAGGGGCCACCTCAGCCACCCCCTTGCAGCTCTGACCAACCTGGACCCAGGGCAGGCCAGCCACCTGGCTGAGCCTCCTGAACCCAGCTCCCACAGAGGCCGGTGCGGATCACCAGGCAGCTGGTCAGGACACGCAGGCACTGGCTTGCTCCCTCGCGTGGCCACAGCTGCCAGGAAGGAAGTGGCGTTCCCATCCGTGGGAGTGGCCATGCAGGGACAAGGCCGGTGCAGACCTGTGGCCTCAGTCAGGCCTGGTGGCACCCGAGGGCCCACCAGATAGAAGACTCAGCTGGCCAGTGGGCATGTGCCACGGAGGGCGGGCACACACCAGGGAACGGGGCAGAGGAGGCCATGGGGCGTGCTGCCCTGGGCCGGGCACCCCACCTGGAGGGCACAGAGTGCTCTCCCAGCCTGCCCCACACTGACCCCTATGGGGGCAAATCAAAGGACACAGGAGAGCCACCCTAGCTTCCACCCCTCCCTTCACCCTGATTGGACAGGAGGGGGCAAGAACAGCACCCTGAGGAGCCAGGCTCATCCCGGCCCCACCCTCACTCCTGACCACCATGGTGGCCATTCTGTGGGCCTGAGGGGTGGAGAGGGAAGTCCCAGTGGACCCTGTTGGCCTCGTGTGGGGGGTCTTTGGGAATGATGAGACAGCTCTGGAACCTGAAGAGGTGGCCGCTGCACAGGACGTGGACACCCGGTGGCACCGAGCAGATGCCCCCCATGGCTAGTTTGGCGACGTGCACTTGATTATAAACATTTCAAAGTGCTTTCAAGCAGACAGAGTGTCGCACACCTGGTCTCGGGAGGCTGAGGCAGGAGGACCAGGAGTTCAGAGCCAGCCTCAGCAAGAGCAAGGTGCTGAGCAACTCAGTGACACCCTGTCTCTAATTAAAATACCAAACAGGGCTGGGGTGTGGCTCAGTGGTCGAGTGCCCCTGAATACAATCCCCAGAGGCCCCTCCTGCAAAGAAGAGTGGCCTCAAGTCCAACTGTGATGGACCTTGGAGATGGCAGTGACTGAAGCCAAGGGCCTCCACACCTCCCTCTCTGACACAAGGTGAGTTCATGGGCCCCCCAGGTTACTTGTGCCCACCACTGCCCAGCAGCCACCCACATCTGTGACTCAGCCTGAGCCGTCCCCAGGCACAGTGAGGAGCACAGCAGGGCCATGCCAAGTCCTGGGGGAGCCATGAAATGTGTCCCTTAGGGGGTCCTCCCCGTCATTCCTGCAGGGGAGGGAGGGAGGGGCAGAGGCGGAGTGCCAGCATTCACCTTGGAGTCAGTCTTCCTCCTCGTCCTCTCATGGCCATGCTGCCCACAGGGGGACGCTGCCTGTCCTTGGGTGTCAGGGCACCTTCACCAGAGGAGCCCCCAGGCAGTTCCCTGGAGGCAGGGCATGCCCTGAGGGGCTTCTTGTGACCGGGTGCCTGGGTCCTCTGGTCATGTTCCGCAGGGCTGTCCTCAAGCCAAGGCCTGGCCCTGAGCCGGGGGTGGGGGAGGCGCCAAGCCTCTGGACAGCAGGGAAGGCCAAGACAGCTCCCTCCCGCAGGGTGCTGTTCTCAGAGGCCTCGTGACAGACGGGAAACTGCAGCGTGCGTCCTGCCCAGTGCAGAAGAGCTGCTACCCTGCAGCAAGCGTCTGTCTCCGCTCTCGCTCTCGGCAGAGCTCCGCGAGGAGGGAGTGTTTTCTGGCAAGTTAAGATAAAGCTGAAAAGGCCAGTTTTCTGGCTCCTGCTCAGCCGTCGCCGCCCTCCTCTTGTCTCCTGGATTCGCCAGTCAGGAGCCTGCTGCTGCAAAGCCCAGCTGGAGCCTGGGGGGGCGGGGGAAGCAAGCAGAAGTCCCCCACCCACACCCACGCATCCCCAGGGATGCGCCCCGCCCGGCCACGCCTTCCAGGAACCTGCCCAGGCCACCCCAGGATCTTTGTCCAGCCCCCAGCGAGGTGGTCTGCCAAAGACGGAAGTAGAAGCATTTAAAAGCAGGTCTCACATCCCAACAACCTCACATCCCCATCCCCGAGGACGGAAAGCCGAGTCCCCCACTCTCTGCCCAAGTAAAGGAAACGCCATCAGGATCACAAGGCTAACCCCACGCTCCGTCCTCGAGGCTCTGCTGCTGATCTGCTCCGTCACTCGCCCAGGGAGCCAGGAGCTCTGGTCCAAAACACTATTTGTCCCTCCTCGGCTGGCATGGATTCCCACCAGATTCCAGATGATTCCATGGGGGCCATGAGGATTCAGATGGAAAGCTCCAAGCCCTCTTAGCAACTGGAGACTTGATCCTCCATCAAAACCCGAGAACTGGGAGGTGTCCGAGGTGGCTGGAAGGGAAGGCTCGAGCCACTGCCTTTAGGTGAGTGTCGCAGCTCAGCCGCTGCAGGCCTGAGGGAGCAAAAGGACAGCCGCTCGGCTTTTCAACTGGACCACCTCTCACAGAACCGGGGCTGCCGTGTCCTTCAGAATTCCCCTGCTGCTCGTCAGAGGACCAGGCTGCCCTCCCCGTCCCCACCTCCCTCTGGACAGAGAGCAGAACTGCCCTCCTGTGCTTTCCTTCCACCCCCCAAACTTTCTCCACGGTCCAGCCATGGTGATCCCCTGTGCTGGGCCAGCAGGGGAAAGGGGCGGGGCCAGCAGGACCCTGCTCATTAAATGTCCACAGAGAAGAGCCCCCATGAGGTCAGGAGCCAGGCCCTCTGTCCTCCATCCTGGACTCTCCCCTTCTCCTGGCCAAGGGCTGGAGCCCTTTCTGCGGAGCCTCTCCCTGTCCTGCCCGAGGAGGGGCCTCAACATGGAACAGATCTGCCCAGGGAACGCCCGGCTCAGGGTCAGGGGCGAGCACTGGAAAGTCCGCCTGCTTAGCCAAGGAGCGCTGGCGGCCTCCCGAGCCGGGAGGTCACGTCGACCCGGCTGCAGCCTCACAGTTAGGAAAATGAGACGGTTTGATTGGTTCCCAGAGGGTGGGGCTCACTGATTGGCTGGCTCCTAGAGGGCAGGGCTCTCATTGATTGGCCAGCTTCCAGCAGGGTGGGGCTCACTGATTGGTTGGCTTCCAGAGGCAGGGTCCTCACTGACTGCTTTTTGGAGCCTCTGCCTGGACGCAGCTGCTGCCCGTCCACCGGCGAGGCTCTACACCTGGCCCCGCGGTGTTTATGTGGTCAGAGAGCCACAGGGTCCGCCTAGAGTGACAGGCACTTCTTCCCACAGTTTCCAACACGGCTTCCAGCAGAGCCCTCTGAGCTGGCCCCAGCCCCGGACCCTGCGAGCCATCCTTACCCACCACCCTCGCCGGTGGCACTGGTCTAGCCCTGGCCTGGGCCAGGTACCGAGGGTCATGATGGAGAGCTCTCCTAGGGTCACGGTGCAGCCCATCGCACCCCCATGCACGGACCCTAGAAGAAGACCCCTTGTGCCGCTCCAGCCTCCTCCACTTCATCCCTGGAACCTGGACTGATTCATCTGCAGGGAGTGGCCATGGCACTTCTCTCCCCTGGACTGTCACAGGATCCCATGAGACCACAAGCTGAGTCAAGGAAGCCAGCAGGGTACCACTGTGGCTACCAGAGCACACGTCAGGTGGGCGGAGACAGAGGAAGCAGAAGCTCTTTCCCCAGGAGTTCTGTCCGCACACGGCTGTGCTCAGGAAGTCCACCTCATCCCACGGCCAAGGGACATTAGAGGCTCCTCCGAGTCCCGCAGGAGAGGCAGGACTGCTCCACAGAGCTGGCCCCGCCGCCAGCACCACAGACTCAGTGTTTGTGTTAGAGGGGAATTAAGGCTGGTCACGTTTGGTACCTAATGTGGAGTGACATCTTTTGAATCTCCACATATTGCTGTTTTCGCTAAGCCACATGTAACACTTCAGAGTGCCAAATGCTTTCTAAAAAATAGACCTGGCTCTGAAACAGTGCCACAGAACACGGGTGGAACATGGCTTTTAGGAAAACACAAAATGCTACCCTCCCCCTCAAAAAACAATAACAACAACTCAAGGGATTCTTTGGAGAACGTGTCTAGTGGCCAGAGGTTGTCCTGGGCGCATGTTTTGAAGACAAAGCCCTTGGCCAGCAGTGATTTGAGCAGGTCCTGGTTCCTCAGAATCTCTGCTCCCCAGCTGGGGAAACGGAGGCCAGCCCTCACTTCCTGCAGAGTGGCAGTGCCACCCGGTTCTGCTGTGATGTCCAGGGGTGGTCAGCGTCAGGGCAGAAAGACATGCTCCTGAAGACCTAAGAGGTAGCAGCCAGGCTGCCAGAGGACCCTTCCTCATTCAGCCAGCTCTTCACAGGCCTCCTGTCCCCCCTGACCACCAGCCTCCCAGAACCTCTTGTCCCTGGTGCCTGCAGCCAGTCTAGCCAGGTGCAAACTGTGGCCTTCAGCCTCGACCAGATAGGAAGAGCTCCTCACCACCCAGCCTCTGCAGCCGCCCTCCACCCCTCGGGCCCTCTCCTCAGGGACGATTTCCCCCTTCCTCGTCCCAAGCTGACCTAGGACTCTCTCCACCAGAGCAACCAGAGCGCCGGGAACAGAACCCCTCACCACCGCCCGCCGCCCCAGCACACTCCACTCAGCGTCTCCAGGACAGGCCCAGCCTCCCTCTGCATCACGAGGCGGCCACCTCCTCCTGGCTTCCCAGGAACCCGCCCCTGCCCAGCACGCCCTCTCCTTCAGTTCCCACGCGCTCTCCTTCTCCCACCGCTTCCCTCGTCTGTAAGTCGGTCCCTTTGACCCCATCTTGTAAAACAAGGCCACACCCAGAGGTGGTGATGGATCAGCGGTCGGCAGGAGTCGGGGCTCGTGGGAACCGGTGGGCCAAGTCCAGGTCCTGCTGTGGTGGGCACGAGCCCCGGAGCCCTGGCTTAGTAGCCACGGGTTGGTGTGGCCTACAGTGGTGACAGACACACTGACGCGATGCTGAGGAGGACGTGGACTGGGGGGGGGTGAGAAGCTTCATTTTCTGCACATTTTTTCCATAACCTAAAAATATTCTAAAAAGATCATCTACTAAAAAAAGCAAGACCTTTCCTGGGTGAATTCCATACAGACAGCACGGTAAGCCCGGTGTTCCGCCCACTCCCAGCGTCCAGTGGAGACGCGTGCGAGATGGGCAGCCAGCACCACATGGAAACCAGCGCTGCACCGGAAGCCCCTCTGGCAAAGCTGCGGCGTGACTGGGGTGCACAGGAGGGAAGAGGCTAGTTTGCAGCCAGCTCTTCTCTGCAGAGTGGTGTGGTCTGCATCCGAGGGAAGGTACCCCGGAGACCCTGCCGCTGAGGACAGGCAAGGCCATGACCAGAGGGCTGCCCACAGGAACTGAGATAGCAAATGTGTATTGTTTTGAGCCAGTAAGCTGGTGGTGATTTGTCACACTGCAACAGTTAGCTATTGCTACAAATAATGAAAAGAAATTTGTAACTAAAATGCACTTCTGCCCAACACGGTGATACATGCCTATAATCTTAGCAACTCAGGAGGCTGAGGCAGGAGGATCACGAGTTAGAGGCCAGCCTCAGTAATTTAGTGAGTCCTTCAGCTTAGTGAGACCCTGTCTCAAAATTAAAAAATAAATAAATAAATAAAACAACTGAGATGTAGGTTGTTCAGAGGTATGGTCCCCTGGGTTCATCCCCTGTGCCAATTAATTTATCAATTGATTAATTAATTTGATTAAAATAACACACTTGCACCCATGATCCCTCCTTCCTTGCAGACCACCCCCCCCAAGGGAGTTCTCCACAGACTCATCTAAGGAGCTTCCTGGAGGCCGTGGCCCATCACGAAACGGCCCCAGAGGGTCAGAGCCTGCTCCGAGCTCCTCCCTGTCAGAGTCACAGGAAGCGCTGAGGCACAAGAGCACCCTGGCTGTCCTTCCTACCAACTTTTTGAGGGTAAAAATGTGATCTTAGCTGCAGGAGGTTTGGGTGAGGAAATGGGAGGGTGGGTAGGTGGACGGATGGTCGGATGGTGGTTGGGTAGGTGGTTAGCTGGTGAGTGGACGGATGGGCCGGGGTCCAGCGAGACCACAGAGTGCGTACTGGCCCAGGCTTCCTGAGAGGGACCAGGGTGGCAGGGCTGGCCCAGGGTCTGCCTGGGGGCAGCAGGGGCCCCTGGGGAGGAGCAGGTCCGAGGAGCAGTGGACGACCCCAGGGACTGGTGCCCACTTCCTCTGGAGAGAGCCCCAGTGAGAGCAGGGACAGTTCCTCGCACTGGCCCCTAAGAGGCCAGGCGTGGGTGTCACTGGCCAGGCGTGGCAGGGCAGGCCCGCACACCCTGTCTTCCCCCGCCAGTGACCGTCTCCCAGAGCCCTGAGGCCAGTGGATGGCCCCAAGGCTGAGGACCTCAGAGACCTGGGGATCCAGCACCCAGCCAGCTCCTCCAGGTGGACAGAGCACCCCGGCCGCGGACTAGAGCGGGTCACCAGGAACGGCCCAGAGAGGACCTAGCGGCCTCAGGAGCCAGGAGGTCTCCGCACAGGACCTGGGCTGGGCCACCCGGAGCCAGAGGGAGGGGCTGCAGCAGCCATGTGTCCCTCTCCACGGTCCTCTCACTCCCCTGCCCCCGGGGACAGAGTGGTCACTCCTCCGAGCTGTGCACTGCTGAAGAGGGTGCAGGTGGAGCCCTCTGGATGGGAGGGGGCGTGGGGACGAGAACACAGGAAGGAAGGCGGCCACTCAGCTCAGCAGATGGACGCGGGTCTGTGTGCCCGCCGGGATGGTGGGGGCGACAGGGACGGGAAACTTGAGCTCGTTTTTAAAAGATCTTAGGGTGGAAATAAATGATCTTTTAATTAAATTTCTACTAAATTTTAACTTGAATCTCCCATCTGCTTCCTTAATCATGCCTAACCCTCACCTCGCTCTGAGCCATCTGTGCTTGTCTCATTATTTGGGGGTGATTCATGTGTTTGTCCAAGCCCACAGGGAGCAGTGAGTCCCTCGCAGGGAGGGACCAAGTCCAGGGTGTACCGGATCTTCAGAACCGAGCGGTTGTCACGCGACGCAGTCCCAGCGGGGTTTGCTGGACAGACGCTCAGTCAGTCAGGCTGGAGCAGTGGACGGAGGTGTGAGGGGGTGAGGACAAGTGGGCAGAGGGCAGTGGTGGACCCCAGCTCCCCGGACCGGCCACCCTGGGTGCCATCACCCTGTGACTGTGGAGGTGAGGCCAGAGGAGAAAGTTCCTGTCACACATGGTCATGAGCCTCCCACGGATTTGCCCGAGCACCGGCTTGTGGGCTCAAGTCACGGGACGCCTTCTCTGGTCCTGGGCCTTGAATCGGGATCAGTGGCCACAGCTTTGGGTGGAGGACTGAGACCACTCCGCCCTGGGAGTGGACGGGGTGGCAGAATGGCTGTGGCGTGGCTGTGGCTGGGCTCTGACAAGTGCTATGCATTTCTGTGTGTGAACCCACACCTGCTGATGAGACAGAGCCAGGCTCTGGGGCAGGGGAAACTGGGTTGCCTCAGCCACAGGCCCCCCGCTGGCCGCGTGCAGTGCTCAGTCTGCTCCTTCCCCAGGCCCAAGGAGCCTCGCTGCTTCACAGGGTCGCCTGGAGGACTGCACCCAGCACGCGCTCAGTGAGGGGTCACCTGCGTAGCCAGCCTCTCACCTGAATCACCGGCGCTCAGTGCGGGAGGCCGGCTGCCCAGCGTGCGTCGGTGTCCACTAACCTGAGACAGAAGATGAGGACCCAGCTCCTCACCAGGCACCCCATGCCATGTGTCCCCTCCCAGGGCCTAGAGCTTCTCCGTGCAAGCCCAGTGGGTATGACGGAGCCGACCAGGAGCTTCCCACGAGAGGACTGATTGGAGCCCCCGGACGTGTGCCCACATGAGTCACAGGTGTGGCCCAGGAGAAGGGAAGGCCCCTGGGGGGGGCTGTGCCTAGCCAGTCATCGTGGCAGAGGGCCTCTGAGAAGCCTGGAGCCCAGGGCACACACTCAGGCGCACGGAGAGCGGGACTCCCCTGGTTCCCGGGCTGAGGAGGCGGGGCCAGGGAGCAGGGGCCTCAGGGGCGGCCCTGGAATATACTGTTATAGATGAGATGTCCTATCTGGGTTGTCCCGAGTGCTTGGAGACACCAAATGTGCGGGGAGAGCAGGACCAGGGGGAGGAAGGGCACAGGGCTCTTCCCTGGGCAGGCTGGGCACCCAGACCAGACCGCGCCTGAGACCCGCCCTGCTGCTCTGCGCGCAGCTCTGAGGGCCCCTCCCTCTCCCTGCCGACGTGACAGCACTGGCTCCCGGGAGCCCCTCACACACACACACACGTGTGCCCGCTCCCGCGGCCAGTGTGTCACGCAGGCGTGAGGGTCTGCCCCTTGTGTGCTAGGCCACACACAGACCTGCTCTGCCCTGAGGCGGCCTGCCGTGAGCTGGGCTTCGTGGGCGAATGGCCGGAGACACGGGAAAGGCCAGTGGCCGGCCACCAGGTGAGCTCGCCACCCTCAAACATGCCCAGCTCTCCTGCTGCCCACCCCATCCTCTCCCTCCGGCCTGTGTCCTCCCTCCTGACCCTCCCTGACACCCCCACCCAGCGGTGAGTGTCCATTTCAGAGTCGCCGAGGTCTTGGGCTCCTTCAACCGTCTTCAGCCCTCCCCCACGTGGATCCTGCCGCTGGGCAGCAATTCAGCCTCCAAGGAGAACCCAGCATGGACCCAACCGGAATCGGCTCCGGGTCCCCCACGTCCCCTTATGGCTCTGAGGGTGTGGGTCGCCCTGGCTCTCGAGCCAGCATCCCTGGGGGCCTGGACCCCAGCGGGTGCTCCCTCCCGCCCTCTGCAGGCAACACCCTGCTCCGTGGAAAGGCTTTGGGAGCAGGAGGAGCCACCATTGCTAACCCCAAGTCTCCGTGGAGACGTAAGGAACATGTTAACCACGGCGTGGGGAGGTGGTGCCCAGGAGAGGACGCACCGCAGCCCAGCCAGCCTTAGGACTGCTCTCCAGCCGAGCCCTCCTCCACTGCCTGGGAACCCGTCAATAGCAGGTGGCCCAGGCCAGGCCAGCTGTGTGCACACCAGGAGCAGGCAGGCTGGCCAGAGGGTGGACAGGGATCCGTGGGGACAGGCAGTCTGCCTTGAGCCGGGGAGCACCAGGGTAGGTGGCTGCCCAGAGTCACTGGTGGTCAGGCAGGGGGCTGGCTGTGCCCTACCAGAGGACCAGCAGACAGCAGGGTCCAAGGCCCAAGGTGACAGCCCCACGGCTACCAGGTCCCAGACTGGCCTCCTCTGTCCCCGTCATCCCTGAGAAACCAAAAGGAATTCCCGGCTGAGAGGGGCTCACTTGCCACCAAGAGGGAGGGCTGGGCCTGGGCCTGGGCCTGGGGCTGGGCCTGGAGCTGGGGCTGGGGCTGGGGATGGGCCTGGGGCTGGACCTGGGCCTGGGGCT